ACATTTCAACTCACATTTTATAACCAGATTATACACATAACATACCTATTGTTACCCTAAGTGATTCAGAATAAGATTATAAAAAATAACTGAATTTCTTTTTCCTGATTCTACAGGTTTTCTTTAGAACGTCAGACTTGGGATAAGCTCTTGCAGCACTATCAGCAGGAGGCTGAAGAGATATTGTCCAGGTTAGTTCTATGAGCTGTAAAAACTGTCTTTAAAAACCTATGGAGTTTGATTAGTGTTTATTTCAGTTCTATTAGCACAAATTGAAAGATGAATCCTTTCTCACAGGCCAATAAGCTCATCAAATTCTGTAGTGTGTATTAGCACTCTTTGACCATAAATGGGAAGTGAGTGAGAGGAAGAGGAGTTGGTGTCACAATTTTCAGTACAGGAACACAATTGATTCTGTTCTGTGTCCTTAGCTACCATTTCATATCCTGGGGGAGACAAGCACATCTCTACCTTGTACCTGGCAGCCTGGGGCTGGGCCAAGAACAGTAATCAAGAGGCTTCAGTGAGCACATGGCCTTTGAGCTGCAGATTTGGGGGATGCCCTTGATTAGGGCCTTCTTGGAGACTGAAAGACATGAAAGGGGGTGATGGAGGAGGATGTGAGGAAAGAGAGGCTCTTTGAGTCTTGAAGGTAGAGGAAAAGTGGGAAAGTGTTAGGTGATTTTTTTTTTTTTTTTTTGAGACAGAGTCTCCCTCTGTTGCCAAGGCTAGAGTGCAGTGGCACCATCTCAGCTCACTACAAACTCCACTTCCTGGATTCAAGCAATTCTCCTGCCTCAGCCTCCTTAGTAGCTAGCATTACAGGCAGATGCCACCACGCCTGGCTAATTTTTGTATTCTTAGTAGAGATAGGATTTCACCATGTTGTCCAGGCTGGGCTAGGTGTTTTTTTGTTGTTTTTTGTTTGTTTTTTTGATCTGTCACCCAGGCTGGAGTGCAGTGGTGCAATCTCAGCTCATTACAACTCTACCTCCTGGATTCAAGCAATTCTCCAGCCTCAGCCTTCTAAGTAGCTGGGATCACAGGCATGCTCCACCATACCTGGCTAATTTTTGTATTTTTAGTAGAGACGGGTTTCGCTATGTTGGCCAGTCTGGTCATGAACTATTGGCCTCAAGTGATCTGCCCATCTTGGCCTCCCAAAGTGCTGAGATTACAGGCGTAAGTCACTGCATCTGGCCAGAAAATGATAGATTTTGATTTAGTTGAACATTAAGCCAGTGATTTTAAGCTTTTTTTCAAAATAGAATCTTGGCTAGAATCCCAACTATAAAATGTTAGTCAAAACCTTAATTGCAAAAGTGGCCTCTCAGTAGAGGAGGGTTTTGAGGAACATGGTTTGGAAAAACTTCCCCAATCCAGGTAATGATGGTTATCAATTACTTTATTCACTTCTTACATATTCTATTTATGAAAATAGATAATGTGTAAGATGCCAGTTTAGGATAAAAACTTTTGTGTCAAAGTTTGTAGTTTAAGAGGAATGGTTCTGGAAGCAGACTTTCTCTGTTCAGACTCTAACTAACTTTCCTTAGTTTGTGACCTGGGGCAATTCGCTTAGTCTTGAATGAGCCTGAGGTTCCTCATTTGAAAATGGGGATGATATTAGTACCCTCCTTATTGAGTTATTGTGAGTGTCAAATGAGGTTAAATGGCAAGTGCCCAGCAGTATCTGGTACCTACTTAGCACTCAGTAAATTGTTGTTATTAAAGGGTCATCATCAGTTTTCATGAGCTCTCAGTCCTGTTCGCTTATTTTAAATAATTCAGGTAGGCCAACATGTTTTGGTAAACAATTGTAGGCACTGACTTTAGGATAGCAAGCTTTGGCTTCACTCTCTCCCAAGTATAGTCCTTCTGGTATATGGACCTTACTATTAGGTGGATTCAACTGACTGGAAATTTCCAGCATTTTCTGGAGTCTGGAGTTTTAAAAACAAATACTAGATAATTGTTTCAGAACTTCTTGTTAAGAAGAGAGCCTGTAACTAACGTAGAGTGGAGAAATATTGATTAAGCTTTATAGGGTAATCTTTGGTATCTCTTCCAGAAAATGATTACAAAATTGCTCGAAAGTTCTTTTGTTTTGTTTTTAGAGGATCAACTGAGGCCAAAATTACTGAGGTCAAAGTGGAACCTATGACATATCTTGGGTCTTCCCAGAATGAAGTTCTTAATACAAAGCCTGACTACCAGAAAATATTACAGAACCAGAGCAAAGTCTTTGATTGTATGGAGTTGGTGGTAAGTGGGCTCATGTTTATTTGGTTGAGTTATCCAGCTTTGCCACCTTGTAATCCTTGGAAATTAAAAGACCTAGGGAACATATATAAGTGTAAGTTGAATAAGTATATTCAACTTTACCTTGGGAAAACATGGAGAGACAATTAAAAAATAATAAATGGAATATATGGTGGTAAATGCTGATGAAGCAGGGTAAGAGGGATAGACAGTATAGGGAGGTTAGTGGGTTGCTATTTTATATAGCAAGGTTTTTTTTTTTGTTTTTTTTTTTTTGAGGCAGAGTCTTGTTATGTCACTCAAAAAAAAAAAAAAAAAAAAAGTGCAGTGGTGCGATCTCAGTTCACTACAACCTCCGCCTCCTGGGTTCAAGTGATACTCCCGCCTCAGCTTCCCAAGTAGCTGGGACTACAGGCCCTCATCACCACGCCCAGCTAATTTTTGTATTTTTAGTAGAGTTGGGGTTTCACCATGTTGGCCAGGCTGGTCTCGAACTCCTGACCTTGTGATCTGCCCACCTCAGCCTCCCAAAGTGCTGGGATTACAGGCGTGAGCCACCACGCCCGGCCTATAGCAAGGTCATTGAAAGCCTCTCTGAGATACCATTTTAACAGAGACTTGAAGGAAATGAGCCATGAGAACATTTGGGGGAATAGTATTGTGTCAATCCAAGTATTAACACCAAGCAGAGGGCATTCGAAAGGGAATTCAAGGAGAGTTTATTTTCAAAAAGGCTAAATAGAAAGGTATGAGTATTGGAGAACCACAAGGGTTAGTGGAGTAACCTGGGGCTTATAGGCATCAGAGCTCTTTCTTCCCCTAGGCCTGAAAGTGAGGAAGGAGTAGCAGTTATTGTAGCACCTAATGGGAGAAAGTCACATAGCTGATTTGAGAGAGCCAACTCAAGATAACTCATTCAGCTCCTTCCCACTTAGGCATTCTGTTGGTAGAGGTTACATGAGTCAGCCTCCTGGAGCATAGAGCAGCCTGGAGAAGAATGCAGTGTGGCTTTGGAGGAACAAACAGAATATCTGGCATAAGCATTCCAGGCTAAAAGAACAGCAAGCCCAAAGCTCCTGAGCAAGAGCTTGCTTCATGGGTTTGAGGAACATCCAAGAAGCCATGGACCCTTCCAGCTCACAGCTGTCTTTTTTCTACAGGTGGATGAGCTGCAAGGATCCGTGAAACAGCTGCAGGCCTTTATGGATGAAAGTACCAAGTGCTTCCAGAAGGTGTCAGTACAGCTTGGTAAGCTTGTCCCTTGAGGGGACCAGTTTGGGCTATTTTCCATCTGATAGCCTTTGGGATAAAAACTGCCCTTCAAAGCCTATGGTCCAAGAGGGTAAGACCTAGGCGTGGTGATTTGTTTTTCTCCCCACAATAAGTAGTATGTTATGGGTACTCAGAGTTGATAGGAAATTTCTAGATGGAAATTCTACAGAAGCACAGTAAACTGAGAATTAAATCCCCATGAAATATTTTGTTGCTTTTGTAAATCCAGGACTTAGGAAATACCCACCCATTGCTTTTTCTCTCTTTATTTCTCAAGAATCTACTAACTGACACTGACATTACTCCTCTATAGCTTTTCCTGGTCTCCTCCCATCCCTAAATTATTTGTTATGCGTATCTTAATTTTCTTTCCTCTTTTTTTTTCTTTTTTTAGGCAAAGTCTCACTCTCGCTCTGTCATCCAGGTTGGAGTGCAGCGGTGCAGTGACTGCACAGCTCACTGCAGCCTCAACCTGGTAGGCTCAAGCAAGCCTTTGACCTCGGGTCCCCAGGGTAGCTGGGACTATAATTGTGCACCACCATACCCAGCTACATTTTAAATGTTTTTGTAGAGATGGGGTCTCCCTGTGTTATCCAGGTTGGTCTTCAACTCTTGGGCTCAAGTGATCCTCCTGCCTTGGCCTCCCAGAGTGCTGGGATTATAAGTGTGAGCCACTACACCTGACCATCTTATTGATCACACTGTATTGTGATTATAGTGGTGGCTGGCTGGCTGGCTTTCTTTCTTTCTTTCTTTCTTTCTTTCTTTCTTTCTTTCTTTCTTTCCTTCCTTCCTTCCATCCTTTCTTCTTTCCCTTTCTTTCCCTCCCTCCCTCCCTCCCTTCCTTCCTCTCTCTCTCTCTCTTTCTTTCTTTTTTTCTTTTCTTTGTTTCTTTCTTTCTTTCTTGTTTTGAGACAGTCTCGCTCTGTCGCCCAGGCTAGAGTATGGTGGCATGATCTTGGCTCACTGTAACCTCCGCCTCCTGAGTTCAAGAGATTTTCCCACCTCAGCCTCCCAAGTAGCTGGGATTACAGGCATGTGCCACCATGCCTGGCAGTTTTTGTATTTTTAGTAGAGATGGGGTTTCACCACATTGGTCAGGCTGGTCTTGAACCCCAGTCTACAAGTGATCACCAAGTTTGGCCTTCCAAAGTGTAGGGATTACAGGCATGAGCAACCTTTTTTTTTTTTTTTTTTTTTTTGAGATAGGGTTTTGCTGTGTCGCCCAGGCTGGAGTACAGGGGTGCAGTCATGACTTATTACAGCCTCAACTTTCTGGGCTCCCAGGTGATTCTCTTGCCTCCCATGTAGCTGGAGGATCATGCTAGGACCATGCTAGGCTAATTTTTTAATTTTTTGTAGAGACAAAGTCTTTTTTTTTTTTTTTTTTTATTTATTATTGAGACGGAGTTTCACTCTTGTTACCCAGGCTGGAGTGCAATGGCGCAATCTCGGCTCACTGCAACCTCCGCCTCCTGGGTTCAGGCAATTCTGCCTCAACCTCCTGAGTAGCTGGGATTACAGGCACGCGCCACCATGCCCAGCTAATGTTTTGTATTTTTAGTAGAGACGGGGTTTCACCATGTTGACCAGGATGGTCTCGATCTCTTGACCTCGTGATCCACCCGCCTCGGCCTCCCAAAGTGCTGGGATTACAGGCTTGAGCCACCGCGCCCGGCCTGAGACAAAGTCTTACTGTGTTGCCCAGGCTAGTCTCAAACTCCTGGGCTCAAGCGATTGATCCCCCCACCTTGACCTCCCAGAATGCTGGGATTACAGGCATGAACCACCATGCCCAGCTGTGCCTGGCTTTCTTACCAGATTGTCATCTCCTTGAGGCCAGAGACTCTTACTTGTCTTTGTAATGCCCTTCCATGTCTAGCACAGTGTCCATACATTAAGTTTTCAATAAATATTATGTTAATTCAATTGAAATTTATTTTTTGACCTCTTTTCTCTGCAGGGAAGAGAAGCATGCAACAATTAGATCCCTCACCAGCTCGAAAACTGCTCAAGCTTCAGCTACAGAACCCACCTGCCACACGTGGATCTGGATCTTGTCAGTGACCTTATGAGCTTTTCTGCCACAAGGCACCCGAGAGGAGAGGAATGGGAAGAGTGCCCCAGAACGTGGTGACTATGTGATTTCTGCCCTGTTGCCTTTGAAGATAACTGGCAGGACTGACTGTAGAGCACTTTGACTTTTTTCAAAAAGTGATGGAATGTATGCATCCAAATGAACATTGCATAGACATTTTTCACAGGAATGTGCAAAATGCTTGAAACCTTAAACTTCTTTTTTGAAATGATCTTCAGATCCAGTGGCTCATTCTTTTATCCTTATCCTGTGAAGATGTTTTTCAGGTTTTGAAACAATCTAAAAGTCATTTAGGGCAAAGTCTAAGGAAACATTTTAGTGGCCAAGTTAGATTCTGGTTGTAAAGGAATGATACTAATTTTCTAGTATAGCTCTGAAGGTGATTTTAGGTAGAAGAGTTTTGAGGCTGGGTGCAATGGCTCACATCTGTAATCCTAGCACTTTGGGAGGCTGAGGCGGGTGGATTGCTTGAGCCCAGGAGTTTAAGACCAGTCTGAGAAATAAGGTGAAACCCTGTCTACAAAAATATAAAAAGCTGGGTGTGGTGACATGTGCCTATAGTGCTGGCTACGCAAAAGGCTGAGGTGAGAGGATTGCTTGAGCCCAGGAGGTTGAGGCTGCAGTGAGCCCTGATTGCACCACTGCACTCCAGCTTGAGTGACAGAGTTAAACCCTGTCTTTTATTTATTTTTTTTTGAGATGGAGTTTTGCTATTGTTGCCTAGGCTGGAGTGCAATGGCGAGACCTTGGCTCACTGCAACCTCCGCCTCCTGGGTTCAAGCGATTCTCCTGCCCAGCCTCCTGAGTAGCTGGGATTACAGGCACCTACCACCAGGCTAATTGATTCTGTCTTTAAAAAAAAATTGTCAGGCGAGGTGGCTCATGCCTGTATCCCAGCACTTTGGTAGGCTAAGGCTGGCTGATCACCTGAGGTCAGGAGTTCGAAACCAGACTGACCAACATGGAGAAACCCTGTCTCTACTAAAAATACAAAAATTAGCTGGGCATGGTGGCAGATACCTGTAGTCCCAGCTACTTGGGAGGCTGAGGCAGTAGAATTGCTTCAACCCAGGAGGTGGAGGTTGCAGTGAGCCGAGGTTGCACCACTGCATTTCAGCCTGGGTGACAGAGTGAGACTCCATCTCAAAAAAAAATTTAAAATGGTAAAAAAATAAATGAAAATAAAAAAGTTATGAGCATTATTTGCAGCATTGGGATATATATATCACTTCACAAGATGTCCAATTTGAAGGAATACCACTCATTCTCTATGTCCTATTGTATGCAGTGTGCTTCAGTTTTTAATACTGAGTTGACCTAAATCCTGGATTCATGACAAGAAAGGCCTAAGTACTACTATTCATTGTTCTATTTGTTTATAATCTGTATTGTAAAATTTCACATAATTAAAAGCTTTCCCTTGTCTTTGTCTATGTTTTGGGTGTATAAACAATTAAAAAGACAGGGAGGCCAGGCATGGTGGCTCACGCCTGTAATCCCAGCACTTTGGGGGGCTGAAGCAGGTGGATCACTTGAAGTCAGGAGTCTGAGACCAGCCTGGCCAACATGGTGAATCCCTATATCTAATAAAAATATAAAAAATTAGCCATGTGTGGGGGCATACACCTGTAATCCCAGCTACTTGGGAGGCTGAGGCAGGAGAATCGCTTGAACCTGGAAGGCAGAGCTTGCAGTAAGCCAAGATAGTACCACTGCACTCTAGCCTGGGCAAAAAAGCGAGACTCCATCTCAAAAAAAAAAAAAAAAAGAGGAAATAGGATTCTTTGCCAAGTTGCTGAAGTGAGCAGTAGTATTGAGATATACCTGTGCATCAATTACCAGTAGAATACCAACTAGGCCAGGCACTTTGGAAGGCAGAGGTGAGTGGGTTGCTTGAGCCCAGGAGTTTGAGACCAGCCGTGGGCAGCATGGCAAAACTCTATCTACAGAAAATGCAAAGATTAGCTGAGAGTGGTGATGCATACCTGTAGTTCAAGCTACTTGGGAGGCTGAGGTGAGAGGATCAATTGAGCCTGGAAGGCCAAGGCTGAAGTAAGACATGATCACACAACTCCAGCCAGGTGAAATCCTGTCTCTACAAAAAATATAAAAAGTTAGCTGGGAGTGGTGATGTGTGCCGGTAGTAACATTCCAGCCTGGACAACAGAGTGAGACCCTATCTCAAAAAAAAAAAAAAAAAAAATGGCACACACAAAAAACCCACCATCTAATTTATTGCTTATTATGCATCTTATTCTGGCCAGGTATGGTGGCTCACACCTGTAATGCAACATTTTGGGAGACCAAAGTGGAAAGACCACTTGAGGCTAGGAGTTCAAGATCAGCCCAGGCAAGATGTTGAGACCCCCGTCCCTCCAAAAAAAAATCGAAAATTAGCCAGGCTTGATGGTGCGTGGCTGTAGTTCTCATGCCTGTAGTCCCAGCTACTCAGGAGGCTGAGGGGGGAAGATACCTTGAGCTCAGGAGTTCAAGGCTGCCATGAGCTATGATCGTGCCACTGTACTGCAGCCTAGATAACAGCAAGACCCTGTTTCAATAAATAAATCCAGGCAGTAGTGCCATGGCACGCTCATGGCTCACTGGACCCTCAACCTCATGGGCTCAAGCAATTCTCCTACCTCAGCCTCCCAAACAGCTGGTACTACAGGTGTGTACCACCATATTGAGTAATTTTTTTTTTTTTTTTGAGATAGTCTCCTCTGTCACCCAGGCTGAAGTGCAGTGGCACCATCTCAGCTCACTGCAACCTCTACCTCCCAGGTTTAAGTGATTCCCCTGCCTCAGCCTCTTCCTGAGTAGCTGGGACTACAGGCATGCATCACCATGCCCAGCTAATTTTTGTATTTTTACTAGAGATGGGGTTTTACCACGTTGGCCAGGCTGGTCTGGAACTCCTGACTTCAGGTGATCCACCCGTCTTGGCCTCCCAAAGTGCCAGGATTACCGGCATGAGCCACAGTGCCCGGCCTAACTTTTGTACTTTTGTAGGAACAGAGTTTCTCCATGTTACCAAGGCTGGTCTCAAACTGGACTCAAGGTACCCACCTACCTCAGCCTCCCAAAATGCTGAGATTGCAAGTGTGAGCCACTGTGCTCAGCCAAAATGTTTCTTATTCTCTGATCCCACTAAAGGGACAAATCCCATTTCAGTTAAACACCCAGTCATAATCTTAAGTCTTAAAGCTTGGCGCAAGTTCCAGTTAATGAGAGATGACATCTCCTTGCTTTGACCTACATTTGTTCTTTATTCCTTTATATATTTACCGAGTATCTACATATGCCACACACAGTTCTAGGATTGGAGGAAGGGGCAAAGAGCAAAAACACATGGGTTCTCCCTCGTGATGCTCAGTTTGCTGAAGACACAGGGAACAAAAGAGAACTGCAGAAGAGATATTTTAGCTGACTTGGGAAAGATGGAGTTAAATGCGGCAAGTATTTCAGGCAAAAGGAGAAGCAATTTTCAAAGGCTTGAGAAGGAGAGTGGAGCATTCTGGGACGCTAGAAAAAAAAATAGAACAGGAGTGCTGGGTACCAGTAGAAGATTGGCCTGAGACAAGTATAATTGAAAGTCATTAGAAGGCTTCAAGAAAGGGCAAGAGGATCAGAACTTTATTTTTAAAAGATTAGTTGTGGTGTGGGGAAAAGACAGAAGCAAGCAAGGTGTGGGTGTGAGAGACCAGCTAGGTTATTGCAGGAGTCTAGGTGAGAAATGACAGCTTGTGCTGGGTGTTGGCAGTGGATGAGTGGGGTGGGACTGCTTGTGTTGCTCACAGTGTCTGGAACATAAGCGTGTAACCTAGGTGTTAAAAACCTAACTCTGCCACTTATTAACTGTGGCTGAGAAAGTTTTTTAATCTCTTATCTCGAAGGTTGGGAGAATGATAGAACCTCTATCACAGGGATGCTATATGGATTAAATAATAGAAAAGTTTAGTGGTGTCAATATGCTGTAGAGGGTAAAGCTTGAACAATGGGTAGATGATGGAGCAGTTAGAGACAGGAAACCTAGTTCCATTTGGGATACCAAATGGAGAAATCAACTGGTGTATCAAATAACGCAGGTGGAAAACTGGGTGGAGAAATCTGGACTGGAGATAACATTTGAGAGTTGCTGATGTCTAGTTATTGATGACTTGAGAATGAATGATATAGTCCAGAGTAGAGCAAGAAGGGAAAGTTTGGATGACCTCATGGAAAGCCAACATTTAAGAATCAGAAGAGGGCGGGACACAGTGGCTCATGCCTATAATCCCAGAACTTAGGGAGGCCTAGCAGGATTGCTTGAGTCCAAGAATTCTAGAGCAGCCTGGGGAACATAGTGAGACCCTCGTCTATGGTCATTATCTATATCTTAAGAATCAGAGGAATGCTCTTAATTCCCTACTCTTTCATAAGGAGAGTAGTAGAATGGAGAGAGTTGGAGTGAATTTTCATTTTATCCTCAATTTCCTCATCTGTCAAATGGGGATAGATTCTCTCTCTAAAGATGATTATACCCTCCCCCGTTTCATTTATTACATTGTATTGCATTTTTTGCTTATAAGGATTTGTTCAAACTCAAGAAATGTGTTTTGTGTCTTCAACAGCAAAACAGGGTACCACAAAGACAACTAATACTGAGCTCTAAGCATTTTACATACATATTATTATTCAGTCTTTGCTACAACCTTTTAACTTCTCTTTCTGTGTGTGTGACTATAGACGAGGAACTCCGGCATGGAGAGCCTTTAATAATCTAACCAAGGACATATGGATAGTTAAATAGTGGATGGTGAACTAGAACTAATTTGAATTCAGTAAATGTTAACATAAGCCATATAATAAATGGCTGTAGTTAATTAATGTTAGTTTTCCCTCCAACTAAATTTGGTTCAGGAATTGTGCTTGATGAATAATATTATTGCTGCCTTCTGAGATGTTTGGTAATATTTATTTGTTCAATTTGCCTTATTTAAAATAATATACTTTTAGTGGCCGGGTGCAGTGGCCTGTAATCCCAGCATTTTGGGAGGCTGAAGAGAGCGGATCACTTGAGGTCAGGAGTTTAAGACCAGCTTGGCCAACATGGTTGAAACCCCATCAGTACTGAAAAAAAAAATACAAAAATTACCCGGGCGTGGTGGCGTGCCTGTAGGCTCAGCTACAACTGAGTAGGAGGCTGAGTCAGGAGAATCGCTTGAACCCAGGAGGTGGAGGTTGCAGTGAGCCGAGATGGCGCCACAGCACTCCGGTCTGGCGACTGGAGACTTAAAAAAAAAAAGTCGGGGAGGGGCCGGGCGCGGTGACTCATGCCTGTAATCCGTCTAAAAAAAAAAAAAAAAAAAAAAAAAAAATCAGTGATACTTAAAATAAATAAATAAATAAACTAGAGGAAGAGAGTGTGTCCTGTACATTTTGGTGTTATTTAAATTGTTGGGTCATTAAGTTTAGTATCTGCAATCATTCTGGGGAAAATAAATTCCATTTCTAATGTTGCAATCAAGAAAGTAGATGACTTGGCTGACAGGGGTGATACAATGGAGGACAGATAATTCGGAGCCCTGAGTCTTGGACTCTAGTTCTTAAATTACTATGTTCATTCACCAAAAATTTGTTAAAGCTCTTTCAACGTGCCGGCACTGTGCTAGTCGCGCCGTGACCTTGGGTATGGCTCTAG